ATCTAGATCACACGAGTCCTACAAGAGTTAAAAATTAATGCTCAACCACCTATAAAGATGTAGTGTGACTGTATGTCAACACTACAAATGATTCACAACCCAGTTCATCATGACAGAACTAAGCATGCAGAAATTGATCAACATTTCATAAAAGAGAAGATCGAGTCAAAAGTAATCTGTCTATCTCACATAAGATCCTCCTCCCAAGTGGCAGATGTTTTTACTCAACCTCTAGATAGGGGCAAATTCAAGTTTTTCAAAAGCAAGCTAGGCATGCTAGACATTTACCTGCCAACCTGAGGGGGAGTGTTAGCACAGAAACCCTAATGGGCCAATGGGCTAACTACCCTAAGTTAATTAGGGTAAATCCCAAGGATAATTCCCTAGATAGAATAAGGCTGAAATCATAGGATTAATTCTTGATTCTTGATTATTATATTATGTTTTTTTTTCTATTCCATAATTCTAGGCTAGAATCTCGTTATTTTCCTTATTATCATTGAGAGCCTGTATCTATTTATGCATCATGAATACTAGAATGGAATATAGCTTCTACAAATCAAATGCTTTGACTTTTAAAGCTACAAAAACCGTTAGTTCTTATAGATTAAAAAGGACTTGGACTGAGTATTAATGGAGTTAAATCTGCTTATTTGTCACTAACTCTTTTAAATTTGTGCTAATTGTGCTAAGGTGGAAAAATATAAGTGTTAACCCTTGCTGACCTGGATATATGAAAAGAGAAAGAAAAGAAGAACAATGATTTCTGGAAAAACACGTCTCACCTCCTCCAAACCAATCGATGGCTTTGCTACTCCTCCTACTAAGAAGACGACCTAGCTTTAGCTCGTGCTCACTCTTGCTCTGGCCTCTACTTGTCAAAGAAGATGATAATCTCCCTTTTCTTAAGAACCGCTAAGAGTATGAGTTACACAAATCCTTTCAGTGATCCTTCAAAGGAAAAAGGTCTAGTCTTTCACATTGTGGAGGTGACCCAGTCTTTTTACTCTTTATTTGTCTTATTCCTTCTATATAATATAATGTCGCATCCTCACATAGTCCACTAAATCTAGTGAGTGTTGTGTGTGTGAGGGGTAGACTGGAGGAGGGAGCTAAGCCATGAGTAAGCCAAGACTTGTGTGTGAGATGATGGAGTTTTGATGTTTTGTTTGAGGGAAAAAATTGATTGGAATTTTGCAGCGTGAGGTGACTACTATTTATCCTGCCTTCGTAAGTGGTACACATTTTATGTTTACATTACAAAGAATGGGAGGGTTAAGATATTGGATTTCAATAGGGGTGGTTTTACATTATTGTTGCTTTTTTATCATGTTCTTTGAAAACTCGAGGTCAGAGCAAAAAAGAGAGAGGAAACACTATTCATCATTACCTTTACTAGGGAGCCAGTTACGCCAATGGTGTAGAGAGAGAGGAGAGAGCCATTGTTCTTCATCATCTTTTTCATTTGGTAGAGGGAAAGAGAGCTGGAGCTAGGTCGTCTTCTTTAGAAGGACGATTAGCGATGCCATCAACTGGTTTGGAGGAGGTGGGGACACGTTTTTCTAGAAATCATTGTTCTTCTTTTTTTTTTTTCCTTTTTTCATATGTCCAAGTCAGGGAGCGTTGACACATATTTTTCAACATTAGCCTAATCAGCACAAACTTAATGGGTTAAGCAGACTTAACACTATTAATACTCAATCCAAGTCCTTTTCAGTTTATAGGGACTAATGGTTTTAAACGAAGTAAAAATGAGAGACCAAAATCAATGGTTCTAAACCTGGGGGACCAATACCAAAACGAAGTTAAACTTTGAGAATAATTGTATTATCCATATAAAAAATTTAAAACATTCACGTGTAATTTGAACTTTTACAAGTTTTATTGGATATTGTTGTGCTTTATTATATTGCTGTAAAATGGTCATACAAAATTATACTTTGACAAAAGAAGAAAAATAGATTGAAAACTGTCAAATGAAGAATGGAGCTTAATTTGCTGTAAAATGATTGCAGGGGTTGATGATTGTTGTCTAGAGAAGTAAAGCAAGTGCCATCCCACAATATCCTATGAAGTTGCGTGCTTTAAGAAAGAAGATAGGTTGTATCTAAATAGAAAAGTAGCCAGCAAAATCCATCTTGTGCCTATTTTACTATCCTGTATGAAGAAATTAATATTGCCATATGACAAGACAATCTTTATATATAATAAGCAAATGTACAAGTGTATAATCATGTAAATTATATACAATATATTGAAATGAATAAAAAAATTATTCTTCTATTGATTACCTTGTATAATGATGTAAATATATAATTAGCAGTAATGTGTATGGCATCAAGTGATAGGATTTCTTTTTCTTCAGCTGCTTAAATTTCCAAATGTCAATGGTTGTGAGTTGATAACATGACAATGACATGTAACTATTGATTCTTACCTTCAATAAGCTTGTGAATGACAATGGTTGGGATGTAGATAGTGGAAAAACATATTGAGTTGAAGGTGCTAAGTATGGAGATGTTGAATCTTGAGTTTATGCATGTTTTGTTGAAATTGTGACAACTTGAGATGAGGGAGCATCATGTGTTTATGCATTTTTGTTTTTTTGAATATTTTCTTCTTTTTCCAGATGATGAAGTCTCTTGAACATCTTACAAAAGATAAATACAAAATCAGTAATAACTTCTTTATGAATAAATGTAAATTAAATCAATCTTAATACCTCTTGTTCTCTTATAAGTCATCTTCTTATCATTAAATTTTTTTCCTTCGAAGGTTTCCAATGTCATTTTCTTTTTGTCCCTTCCCTCTTTTTGAATCCCTTAGGAATATTTTGAGACTCTATCGCTGGTGCTTTACTTGATTCAGGAACAACATTTTCATTGTTATTTGAACTTTTATTATCCAACTCAATGATGCATTTATGAACACACTCAAAACTTTCAAGAGTGTGACCGGCCTTTGTTCCCAATCTTGCCATTTTATGCATTAATTGTCTATAACTTCATGTGATTTCAAGTCTAAGATCTACTTGTATCTCACTTTCCCTAAAATCATATACAACATCACTCCTTGGTTTCCTTGTCCATCACTTGATAATGTATTTCTTAGGCATCCTCGCATTCTTTGACTCATACACTTTTAATGCATGATAACACAATATTCCAATAGTCTCAAACATTCCACAGGTGCAAGAAATGGCATGTGTGTTAGGTTTAAACTCAACTTTCCATTCCCCTTCTTCATCAATCATATGCACAATGTACATATATAATAGTTCCTTTTCATCACGGTGAGTTAACATCACATAGAATTAGAGATCCTATCGTGCTTGGAACATGTGAAAGGCACTGGGGGTATAAGTTAGCACAGGTTGGCGCAATATGGGTGCACTCTGATTGACCATTCTAGGAATTTGTTGCGAAGAATCAAACTCAAGTTTCAATTCCTTTTCTTGCTTCTTTAAAACAACTATGTCAAGTGTCAAGAGTAGTAAAGAATTCATTGATGGGTAAACTTGGTGTAGTGCATTTTTTTCATAAAGAATTGTATGGAATATGTCAAAACAATATGACGGCTACTAGTTTTATATAAACACACCAAAATTGTTTTATGAGGGAGACAATATAGTTAAAAAAAGATACCTTTTCTTCTTTCTTGCTATGGTCGCTGTGAGCCATCTTCTTCCCTCTCTCCTTGTAGTGTCCCGTCTTCTTCTTCCCCCTCTCTTTGTCGACTTTGGTGATGTTTATTTCTTTCTTCTTTCTCTTGTCTAGCGTGCAACATTCCTTCTCTTCCTTCTTCTTGCTCCTCTATTTCGAACAACCCTCTTCCTTCTTCCTCTTCTATTTCGGTACAATTCATCTCTCTGTTCTGGTTTAAGATTGGCTAGAAATTTAGAAGAATTTGAAGAGATATGCCACGCAAGAAATTTAAAGGAATTTGAAGACATATGCTGTGCTTAAAACTCTCTAATTGCGTTAGTCTTGGTGTCATAACTCGTTCATTCACGTATCACTGAGCAGTGACAACCTCATCTTCATTAACCAAAATGAAGCATTTTGAATGATGAGCACACATGCTCATCAGGCCGATGAGCACCAAATGTGCTAGCATATATTTCTATGTAATTGCGATTGATCCTTTAGTCACTCAATGTAAGACTATCATATACATCTAATATTTTCTTTCATTTTTTTAATTAATCTCAATTTTTTCTTTTTACCTTCTTTTTAGTCCCAAGAATCATCCTCTAGTACTAATATCATACTGGATTTTTTTATTATTAGTCACAACTAAAGGTTTGTAATTATCAAAATATCTTAAGTTACTTTGAAAGGATTTACTACACTTGAATAGTTGTAATTGATCCTCCATTACTTGATGTGAGACTATCATACATATCTAATGAGCAATAGCAACGGGCATCATCATCATCCACCAACACAAATATCAAGCTTAAACATATTAATTTCATGTCAGTTCACCTAGTGTCACCTCTTCTTGTACTGTTATCATTTTCTAATTAAGGCATAAAAGTTTGATACTTCTTCAGACTATATCAATTTTTAATTAAAGTTTGTTAACATAATAAATTTAACCACATATAGAGCTGTGCGTTTTATCCAAAACAAAGCTCTCATAAATTGTCTGATTTGTTTTCTTCCTATTTTACATTAATCGGGTAGAGGCTTGTGTGTTTTAACGTGTGAACATTAATGTAGTAGTGGATTTGTACCTAAATTCTTTTTTTACCCCACCAGCATTATGCCTAAATTTTGGTCGGGCCTCGCATAACTATATACTTCACATCAAAAGTTGAAAACATATTTATAAAGTTAACTCTTCTATTTCCTACCTAATGGATTGCCTAATCCAAGTGCCTCTCTAACTAACTATCCTTTTCTAAAACAAGTTAACTACAATATTCCTTATGATCCCTCTGAAGCTTCTTGTATTTAAAGCTTTAAGAAGCTCTCCCAAGCAGATGTGCAAAAGAGATGGCAGAAGTAGCGAAAGCTGAGATTGTATCCCAAACCACCATAAAGCCTTCGTCCCCAACCGCATCTCACCTTCAACACTCCAAAGTCTCTCTCCTCGATCAATTAGCTCCTCCCTTTTACGTTCCCATTGTCCTCTTCTATTCTCCTATTGATCATGATTTCACCAAAATATCTGATAGGTTGATGGCTTCTTTATCACAAGTTCTCACTCTTTACTACCCATTTTGTGGAAGACTCAAAGGGAATAAAAGCGATGCCTACGTGGATTGCAAAGATGAAGGTGTTCTGTATCTTGAGGCTAGAACTTCACTTAGGCTCTCAGACTTTCTCCAGAGTAATAATCATAATCCACAGCCCAACGAGATTAAAGCGTTTCTTCCATTAGATCCTTACAACCCAAAGCCAAAGAATAACGAGGAATATCCTTTTATAATGGAAGTTCGGGTTACTGAGTTTAGCTGCGGAAGTGTAGGGATCGGCGTGTGTATTTCACACAAGGTTTGTGATGGGGCAACTATAGCGTCATTCCTTCAAGCTTGGTCTGAAAATGCAGTGGCGGATGGAAATGACGTTTCTGATTCTCCCCCTAATATGGATGCTTTTTTGCTTTTCCCAGCAAGAGACATAGAGATGAACACGGCGAGTGGGATGATTGGTGAGAAGAATCTTTCCACTGGGAGATTTTTGTTTACGGAAAAAAGGTTGTGTGAACTAAGAGATAAATTAGTTTCTGGTGGCTGTCACTTTAAACCCACAAGAGTCGAAGCTGCGACTGCTCTCATATGGAAATCTGCCATGAAAGTTGCAGGAGGAGTTCGTCAATCAATGGTGTCACATGCGGTCAATATTCATAGCCGCATGGTACCCCCTTTGCCAGAAAACTCCATAGGTATCTTTCAATTTAAGTGTGACTGAGTATATCTGAGATCATTCAATTTTATTAATGCAAGACGAGTGATTTTGTTCTCGCGGTTTTACAGGTAATCTATGGCAACAAGTTGTTTCTCCATTGGTGGGAAGGGAGGCGGAACTGCAAGATTTGGCAGAGGTGGTGAGGAAAACCGTGAAGAGAATGGATGAAGAATGTATGCGGAAGCTTGAAGGAGGAGGCCGCAGTGAAGGGCTAGTTGAGGTTGTTAAATCATTGAAAGAAGTGATGTTTTTGGTGGGGACAAAAGGTGTTCCTTGTTATAGCTTTAGCAGCTGGACCAGGTTTGGCTTGTACGAAGCAAAATTTCAGCATTGCTCAGAGCTTATTCAATTTGCTTCTTTCGATCTCTAGGTTTTCTTTCTTTGGTGTGCTTACGTATACTGCTGAGGCTACTAGCTACTTATATCCTAGTTTTTTTTGTTGCCCATCCAGTTCATCAGAGCTTTGCTCCGACTACATTTGGATCCGATCCGCGTCGCGCACCTGGTTGTAGTGGGTGAGTCTTCCATCAGGAATTTCTGCATACGTTGGGCTCGAACTTGAGACCTCACTTAAACGGTACCAAGCTGCTTACCACTTGGACCAACCCCCGTTGGTTACTTATATCCTAGTTAATTAATTAAGTGTGAGGGTGAAGCTAGCATTATATTTTGTGTGTATAAATCATATGATGTTGCTTTTGTGTTTATATGAATCGCTACAAGTGATTCAAGGATTCATTAATAGAATCTTTATAATTGTACTGATGTGCATATGGTGCGTGTGTGTCTGTGAATACGGTCATGCAGTTACTATCTTTCATCTTGAGTATGATAATGGATACATTTTCTGACTACAAAGAAAAAGAATTCTGTAAAATTAGGAGAAAATCTTCATTAAAAATTTTATTAGTGAGAGTGACTTAAGTTACCGGAATTATTTGTATACAAAATTTTCATAGTACCAATCCCTTTTTATATTGTTTTTGCTACGCTGCATCATAATAAAAACATCAAACCATTTGTTTCGGCCACAAAATATATCACCTAAATTAAAAGACATGGTTTAGGACCTGTTTGGGAGGACTTAAAAAATCTCTTATAAGCATGTTTTATATAAGCCGAGTCAAAACTCCTCTCATATAATTATCTTGTATTCCGTAAATTACTATTAAAAAGCTATTTATAAGTTGTTCTAAACTGGCCCTTAATCAGTGTAAGCATTGCCAAAAAAATTCCATGAAGTACAAAAATTCAATCGGGACTCGTAGTCTCGTCGAAAACTAAAAATAGAGTGCCCCATTACCTAACCCCACTGTGTAAAACTATCATTAGACGCCTAAATGCGGGATTCTGGCCCAAAAAAAGAAAAGAAAATTTAGTTTATTCTTCTTGTACGCATAGTTGATCGTATCATAATATCATATATTTCTCACTGAGGCGGCTACAAAAAAAAGGGTGATGCATTGAATTAATTTTTCTGGAGATGAGTATCTTTCCATCTTTGTGACTGTTTTAAGAGAACACGTTACAATTCCCACAGATATTTCAGCACCTACCGCCTCACTAAAGCAGGATGGATGTTAGGCCTGATAGTAATGTCATGTCATCTTCATCGCTACATTACATTTATCTTTGTTGACTATTTCAGATTGGTACACGGACCAAGTAACATTAACATTTAATGCTAATTGCTATTACTTCAAGTTGAACTCAAATTCAAATTTAGTGGAACTGGCTTTTCAAATTTACAGAACAGTTCAAACTCAGGAACCCTTAAACGGCCAAAATAAATAGGAACAAGAGATAACAATACTAAAATGATAGAGATATAATGGCACTGCAAAAAACTGTACCATTTATCTCACTTCCACTTGAGGGACTGCCTAATGCCAGTGTAAATGAGTCCTAAAGACCTTCCAATCAAGCAAACCAAAAAGAAAGAGATAGCCTCACTCACTTTATCAACAATAGCTCTTATAAGAGGCATGGCGATGTCAGAAAATTCAAGGAAAAGGCTGAAGTAATATCGCCTGCAAGACACAGATCAACAGCAGAAAACCATCATGCAAATAATAATGAAGAATGAGGGCAAAGTTAAAAAACAAACACGAATAGCATCTTCCCCTTCTATTTTGTAGCTATAAATGCATTATCAAATAACAAGATATGAGACCTTGGAGTATAAGTATTTCTTTTGAATCAAAGTTTTTTCTTTTGTTTATCAAATGTTTATTGTACTTCTTGTGCAAGAGGTGATCTTAGGCCTCTACTAGTTAAAATCCTCCACCCGCCACTGCCCATCCCGGAAAGGTATGCTTGGATGGGTAATAATGAGGGAGAGAAGGGAAAGAAACGAGATGTTTTATAAAGTCCCTTTTTTAGTTTGGAGGTTATTAATAGATGGACGAAATGAAGATTTTTAACCAGCCCAAATTCTTCAAAGTCGTGCCTCCTTTATTTTAAGTTCATGCAATCTAGCGAATGATTTTGGTGGAGAAAGTTCCTCCAAACAAGGGAAACGGTAACTATCATCCCCTCTTCCTTCTCTTCATCTTTTCCCGGATCCCTTACCTTCTGCTCCCTTCTCCATGCAACTTCCAAAAACCATCGATCTATTTTCAATTGGAAAGTGCGCCAATACTTGAAAGAGTAAAGAGGAGAGCGATCATGTGCTGCTCCCTTGCTTATTTAGAAGCAGATAAAGCACACAAAGCATATTTGCAACCTTTTTTTTTCTCTGCCACAATGCATATTTCCAATCATAAATGCAGTTCCTAAAACAATACCAACAATCCATCTTGTAAACAAAGCAACCCATCGACGAAGCTCCTAATTGACAAATGGTGACTATTGTTGCGAACAAAGGAGCAAAAGTGAAAACAAAATGTCATGTTGAGCCCCTCTCTTCAAATCCTTACAACTATGAGTGCAAGAGAGATGAGATTATAGAAGTGGAAGAACCAGTCACTCAAATAGCCTGTAAGGCATCTCATATTCCTCAATGTAAGATTAAGGCATCTCCATACTACCTAAGCATCTCATAACACCAGCTTTGAGACCAATTTATGGGTACTTAAATTACATGGAAAACACTTCCCTAGAAGCTAGAACCAGCTACCAAAGTACGCTATAGGACATCCCATACTGCTTGATGATCTAGGTATCTTGTAAAATTAACACACCCCCCCCCCCCCCAAAACAAGGGGGGGAACCCCCATGGCTACACCCAATTTCCTTGACAAACTTCAATAACGATTGACAGGCACCTAAGTGAGGTGGGAAACCTGAGGTGATAAAACCAGCCGCTTAAATACCTTGCGAGCATGTCATATCTTAATTTAGAACTCAGGTATGACATTCTACTTTTTCTTTTTCTTTTTTTTTTGGGATAAGTCGGAAACAGTTATGACATGCTACTTCAGTATCCATCATTGTGCATGCAAGTTTTTACCAAAAATTAATGTTTATTTTAGTATGTATGCCACAAATAAAAAGGAATTGTAAAATGATTATTCCGCGGATACAAAGGATTCAAATAAGGCACATATTGAAAAAGCATGCAAGAATTGTAAATTCATTAGGTCATTGCACTTAGTTTCATGCTTGAAAGAAGATAAAGAGTGGAAGAAAAATACCATCCTGTCAGGGCTCTCAATTCCTTAGTTCGCTTTACAACTATGGGGAGACTGCTTATCACAATGTAATGTAATTTGGCTGACGCAGTATTCGCATTTCCCTGGGTAAACCTCTTCCACCAGCCTTGATTTTCAGTCTGACTATTGCATGGTAGATCAATGGGTCGACTCTCCAGAGTGCACAAGTCAAAGCGATCCTCATACATAGACACAACTGTGTCCATGTTGTGGTACAGCCACTGGTTCAAGGCTACCTGAAGGAGAATTTCTTAAAGTCCTGTTAAGATTTCACACAAATTTTGAAAAGAAAGATAAACTATAAAGAAATTAGTATATCTTAAAATAGTACAAGAAACCCATTCAGTTTGCAAGCATATAACTGACTCAATTAAGATTTAGTTCCAAGAATTAAAATCTCACAGATCTCAACATCATTTGGGACTGAACAAAAACAAAAAGAGCAATAAAATTATTTTGATCAAAACTGGTGCAATTTACATTTTTCATCACAATCCCAGGAAAATAATGTCAAAAGAAAGTTCTGCTTAGGTGGGAAGAAAATAATGCATTGAATTAATAATCTGTTCTCGATCATGAGGGTTTAGAAAACAATAGGCATACCGACCTGGATAGTTAATATATCAATTTTCCTCACATTGATTTGTTAAAGTAATGCACAGCATAGCTCTTTTGAAAAGTGCATGAAGATATACAAAGGCATCATATTTACAAAATGAAAAGTGCATGCAGAAAAAATAATCCATAACATCTTAGAAAATTGAACCCATATCTCAAAATAGCCCGATTTCAAAAATGCCATTCTGATTGGTCAGCACAATGAACAAAAACATTATATGGCATCCAGCAATATGATTAAAATTTGTTCGTGAGTACTAGCGCATACCTAAATGACAGCCAAAGATTGTGACCATAAAATATCAAGGAAAAAAGGGGAAACCAACTCAGCTCATTCAAGCAAAGAATTTTACACAATGGTTCCCAAACCATAATTTGAGACCCAAAATAATTACAATTGAAAAACACAGTTTATAAGAAAATAACCACTCCAGAGGACTAAAATCTAAAACATTCAGCTAAAAGGAGTCTGCACTGAATTCTTACAGGAGAAAAAAGAACTCTTTTTTTTGGGAGGGGGGGGACAATACAGTTAACAACGTCTAGAAAAAATTTTATTTTCTTTATATGTTGACTGATCCACGTTCTCCATACATTCAAATTGCATTTTTTTTTTTGGGTGATGAACGACTAAAATCATCAAATAGAAGATGAAAATAGTAATATACTGTTAGAAACTAACACACGATTAATCCCTACCCCAAGCATGAAACTAGAAAAAAGTACACTAAGAAAGTACCTCATTCCGTAATTTTTGGAGTTCTCTGGTGGAAAAAGCACATAACGACAAGTCTAACCTATTTGTTTCACTTGACATGTCACCATCAACAGAAATGAACTCCAAATACAAGGTGGCAACCCCATCTGCTAACGTTATCACCAGATCCTCCAATATAGAAATCCCATGCAAAGCAAATAAAGAGGAATCAAAGCAAAAATCCTCCCTGATAAATATTAAAAAACAATATAAAAATGATGAAGGGTGACTGGCAAACATCCCATGTCAAAGATTAGACACAAGATAATCAATTTTAAATTCAAAAAGTCTGGCATGACATCATAGAATACGCCCAAAACAAACATGATGGTTAGTTGCACTTCCAGGCACAATCATCACTAAAGTGAAGAGGTTTCCCTTCCTTAGCAAGCCTAAACACGTTACTGCTAGGCACTCGGAAAACATGCTATGGCACCTGTATCTGGCATTTACTACAAAAAAAAGCATTCTTATGCAGGGGAAAAAAGTCTTAATCAATGTCATTTCACTCTAGTAAACCATATACTCCAATATAAGTAAAACTACAAAACTACCCGTCATTGACCCCTTGCTGCGTTTTGTTTTTTATGTTTTCATGGAAAACCACAGTGGCAAGGACAAAAGTAAAACAAAAAACAATGTAGACAGAAGCCCAAATGCATGGACCAAATAATTCATAAGAAAGCTAATTTACAAGTTGCATGTCCCTTGACTACTCATCTAAACTGATGTTAATTTAGTTGGAGTATTGACTATTTGCATTAGAAAGCTGTCAAGGTCAATATATCTATAAAAGTTGCCGGAAATCACATGATTCATAAGCCATGAACAATATAGCTTATCTCAGATTCCGTGCAAATACACATGCGTAGGACTCACTTTAGTTAAAACCAGAAGATCCTAGAGACACAGCATTTTCTATGATGTGGGGTAAACATGATATGTTCCTGTGAAGCATTTCTATTTCATGGCATATAATGAAATTACAATAAACTAGTTCATGAATCAAGAAGCAGTACAATCAAGCAAAGATGAAAAATATGATCCTAGCAAAAATTAGAAAACTTGATAATCTCACCTGAAAGAACCATAAGTAAGATAGCACAGTAATTCTGCATAAAGATCCATCTTCCCAGATTTTTTTATGCTTTGCACAATAATGCTGTCTCCTTTTACTTTTTCAAGTATCAAAGAAGCAAGTTTCTAGGAACGAGAACGAATCAAACAAGTGTAAAATCAGCATTTTATTCAAAAGTAATGGCCAAAAGGATGTGTGTCAAGTGACGCATTTACTCCCCAGAAATACCTTTTCAGCAATGTTTTTTCCAAGGGAAAACTCCTTTTCCAGCCAAGCCATACATATGGAACAATAGGATCTTTGAACAACTTCGGAAAACACTCTCAACCGATCATCCATAATGAGAGGTTTGGCACTGCTTGAGATATTATTAACCTGCAAAACAGAAGCAGAACTGTTAACAGTATAGAAAAAATAACCTGAAAGAATTTGAAGTTTCATAAAGGTCAATCACAAACTACAAGATTCATTTTTTAATCAAAATAAAAATGTGACAGGAGGAAAACAAAACATTCACCATCATCACAAAATGCAATAATTCATCTGGATTCATGAATAGAATGAGTAAATTTTATTCACATTGAGAAAATAGATGAGATGCAATATTCAACAATCAAAGCATTGACCTTGAGGACTGAGTAAATAGGGCGAGAATGAATCTGCTTTATTCAATATTTCTGAAGTAATCTGGGGTAAATCTAGGATAAACGATAAAACCAAAAAGGATCTATCCTAATCAGGCTAGTAATCCTAATCAGATTAATAAACTAAAAAATACAAAGACTGAAATAAATAAAACACAGCTTATTGGGCCTCGGCTTTGTCTTCCAACACTCCCCCTCAAGCTGGTGAGTAGATGTCAATCATTCCCAGCTTGCTCCTCAGTCCTTCGAATGAGTCTTCTGGGTAATAGCTTGGTGAACAAATCTGCCACTTGATTTTTGGTTCGAATGTGAGATAAGTCAATTATACCTCCTTCAATTTTTTCCGTTATGAAGTGTCTGTCAATTTCAACATGTTTTGTCCTATCATGATGCACAGGATTCAGGGCCATTTCTATAGCTGATTTACCGTCACACTAAAGTTTTATTGGTCCAATATGCATCAGTCTCAATTCCTTTAGAACTCTAATTATCCAAATCCCTTCACAGACCCCAAGAGCCAATGCCCTTAGTTCTGCCTCAGCACTGCTTCTGGAAACTACTAGTTGCTTCTTGCTTCTCTAGGTAACCAGATTTCCCCATAAATAAGTGATGTATCCAGTAGTAGACCTCCTATCTAGCAAGGACCGCCCATGATCAGCATCCGTGTAAATTTCTATTCCTCTAAACTCTCTTTTCTTGAAGAATAATCCTTTCCTGGATTCATCTTCAAATATTTCAGAATTCTATACACTGCTTCCATATGCTATTCTTGCGGTTGATTCATGAACTGGCTTACAACTCCCATAGCATAGCTGATATCTGGCCGTGTATGAGCCAGATAAATGAGCTTTCCTACCAACCGTTGGTATCTTCCAGTGTCAACTGGTATACCATCTTTCTTGTATTCTAAATTGCAGTTTGTCCATGGGAGTTTTTGCAGGTTTGGCTCCAAGCATTCTTGTTTCTTGCAATAAATCTAGTGTGTACTTTCTCTGAGAAACGTTTATTCCCTGTTTGGTTCTACCAATCTCCATCCCAACGAAATACCTCATCTATCCTAGATCTTTCATCTCGAACTCAGCTGCCAATGATTTCTTTAGCTCTCTCACGGCACTTTCGTCATTTCCTGTAATCACAATATCGTCTACATACACTATTAGGATGATGATTTGATCATCAGTATGCTTTATGAAAAGTGTATGGTCTGATTGCCCTTGTGAGTATACCATTCCTTTCATAGTTGTTGAGAATCTCCCGAACCAAGCTCTAGGGGATTGTTTCAACCCATATAATGATTTCTGGAGTTTACAAACCTTTGAGCTATTTGTTGAATTCTGTAGGCTAGCCGGTATCTTCATATACACTTCCTCTTTAAGATCCCCATTTAGAAAGGCATTTTTCACGTCTAACTGATAGAGTGGCCAATCTAGATTCGCTACCACTGATAAAAGGACCTTAATGGTGTTGAGCTTTGCCACCGGAGCAAAGGTTTCTTGATAATCAACCCCATACGTTTATGTATATCCTCGGGCCACAAGTCTTGCTTTATATTTGTTTATGCTTCTGTCTGGATTATACTTGATTGTGAAAACCCACCAACATCCCACAATCTTCTTTCCTGGGGGTAGATCAGTGATTTTCCACATTTCATTCTTTTTTAATGCTTCCAACTCTTCATTGATAGCTTGTTTCCAATTAGAGTTACCAATAGCCTCTTGAAATGTCTTGGGTACTGTCTCACTGGACAAGTTTGCTACGAAAGTCTGCATTCTAGGAGATAATTTATTATAGGAAACAAATTTACTGATTGGATGCTAAGTACAAGATCTTACCCCTTTCCTGAGAGCAATTGGCCACCCAAGTTCCTCAAGGATCTAACATTGGATTGGAGATTTGGTTGTGCCTTGGAATGTGAGGGACTCTATTATTTTGCTGCTCTTCTGAATCTAATTTGGTACTATACTCCTGGTCCATCCCTGTCTCAACACTATTTTCCACATGGTTGTGATTTTGTCCAGTAGATGAAGCTTGTGGGTTTGGACTTTCACGTTCGAGTTGAGTAGGGAAATTTAGGTTTTCAGAAGCTTGTGGATTTAGGTTTTAGGTTCGGATATGGCCTGGTTTGGTTCAAGTTCGTGTATGGCCTAGGTTGGTTCAGGGCTGTCTAGGTTTGTTTGAGCAGGGGCACCCAAGGTTAGCCATTCTTCCATGTCATAATTCTCCCCCTGAATGGGCAACTTAGGATAGTAGGCATCTTCTTCTGAAAAAACATCCTTAGTGACATAAACTCTCCTTGTTGTAGGGCAATAACACTTATAACCCTTTTGGGTAGAGGAGTACCGAAGAAAGATACATTTTTTAGCTCTTGATTCAACTTTGTTGCCATCATCTCGATGTATATATACTACACACCCAAATACTTTCAAGGGAATGTCTGAGACTAGGGATGAATTTGGGTAAGTTTCAAGAAGTTTTTGGATGGGAGTTTGATAGTTGAGTACCTTTGTGGGCATTATGTTGATAAGGTAGGTTGATGTGAGAATAGCTTCTCCCAAGAAGAGGTTTGGAACATTCTTGGCAATCATGATAGCTTGGGTGACTTCTAGGAGATGTCGGTTCTTCCGTTCAGCTACCCATTCTGTTGTGGGGTGTATGTACATGAGGTCTAATGGTGGATTCCTTGCTGGTCAAGGAATTCTTTCAAGGTTGTGCTAAGATACTCTCTTGCATTGTCACTTCTTAAAATCTTGATTGTCCCTTGGAATTGAGTTTTCACAAATGTGTGGAAACTTCTGAAAATGCTAAAAATTTCTGATTTTTCTTTCATTAGGTATATCCAGGTTACTCGGGTGTGATCATCAATGAAGGTCACAAACCACCTAGCATTAGAGGTTGATTTAACTCTTGCGGGTCCCCAAATATCACTATGTATTAAGGTAAAGGGTGCAGTTGGTTTATAGGATTGTTTGGAGTAGGAAGTTCTTGTTTGTTTTGCAAGTTGGCAAGTTCCACAATGAAAAGGAGCTGAACTTTTATTCAATAAAGCTGGAAATAAGTGTTTTATATAATCAAAACTGGGATGACCTATCCTAGAGTGCCATAACAATACATCCTTATTTGAAGAATTTGAACTAAACAACGCATTGCCCACTTGTTTATTGGTGATCCTGGAGCCTTTAAGATAATAAAGTCCATCCCATTCTTTAGCAATACCAATCCTCCTCCTCATTGTCAAATCCTGAGAAACACAAACTGTATCATCAAAAGACACTCGGCAGCGATGATTTCTAGTTATTTTACTCACTGATAGCAAATTACATGCGAGTACTGGGACAAATAGAACATTCTGTAATTCTAAGTTATCTGAGATTTCAACAATTCCAACACCACAAACTTTGGAAAAAATTCCATTAGCAACTTTCACTTTAAGGTTCTTCTCATGACAATACTTTAGAATTCTAAACAAAGCTTTGTTACCCGTCATATGGTCTGTAACTCCAGAGTCAACAATCCAAGTATTATCACTGGTTACCATGGCGTTTAGGGCTATAATGGAATTACCTAACTTTACCCGATTTGCTTTAAGGGTAGAGGTTGAGTTGTTATGCTTCTTAAGAATTCGTTTGAGTACTTGCAGTTCTTCTCGGCTAAGAGTTTCTCCATTCTTCTCATTCTTGTTAGTCACAGCAATGTATCCCCTACTCTCCATTCTTCGTCTTTGTTTCAGATTTGCTGGCTTGCCGTGTAATTTCCAACATATGTCCCTAGTATGACCATTTTTGTTGCAATGATCACACCATCCTTTGGGATTCTTCTTTCCTCTTTGTTCTGGTCCATTGTTGCCTTGTACTGTCAATGCCGAACTCTCAGAGGGTGCAGATACACTTAGGATAAGTTGTTTTCCGCTTTCTTCACATTTGACCATGTTGAAAGTTTCAAATAATGATGGCATCGGCTTCATTCCCATAATTCTTCCTCTCAGATCATCAAACATGTCAATGAGACCAAGTAAGAACTCATAGGTTCTTTCTATTTCGACCAGCTCCCTATATAGTTGGGCATCACTGCTACACTTCCATTCATGGACATCAAACATGTCCAACTGCTGCCACAAATGTGTGAAAACAGTATAATATTGTGTCACCGTCATGCTTCCTTGTTTCATCTCTCTTTGTAATTTTTTTATTTGAAACAAAGCAGCAGTGTTCTCCATAGCAGAGTATGTTCTTTTTGCAGCATCCCATATCTCTTTTGCTGTCTTAGCAAGTAAATAACCTTCACTGATGTCTACCGTCATGAAATTACATAACCAGGTCATCACTAGATTGTTTTTGGCAAACCAAGTATCATACTTTGAGTCTTCCGGGCTTGGTTGTAGAGCCTCCCCAGTTATATACTTTGAGTCTTCCAGACCTGAGACGTGGTTTCATGGGCCGAATTGCTGCTAGCTTCATGCAACCGGGGACGTGGCTTCGTGCGACTAATTTGTCTGGTCTTAGTCGCGAACAAGACCGCTGTTTTTACTCACCCACGACCATGGCTTCGTGCGACCAAGTTGGATGGTCTTAGTCGCAGTTACCCGCTCTAATACCATGAGTAAATAGGGTGAGAACGAATCTGCTTTATTCAATATTTCTGAAGTAATGAGGTACAATATTAAACCAGCTAAGATAATCTAGGGTAAATCTAGGATAAACGATAAAACCAAAAAGGATCTATCCTAATCAGGCTAGTAATCCTAATTAGATTAATAAAATAAAAAATACAAAGACTGAAATAAATAAAACACAGCTTATAGGGCCTGGGCTTTGTCTTCCAACAAGGACAAAGCTCCATTAGCTAGCCAAAATCAACTAGGCTATTAAATGTTCACATCTGATCATAGAAAGAGCTTATAACTATACCTAGCCTACTTTATTACAATGACAGGCATCTTGAAAATCAGAAAGAAACGAATATTAATTAGCAATAGAATGTGCTCAAAAACAAATTTGATGATTTTAATCTCTATAAAGCATTAATTACCCAGTCTCAAATTGCAATTAATCTATGTCCAAGGAGGAAGCACATAATTAAAAATACAGAGTACAGTTACTTTGTATTTTTTATCATTAATTTCTATAAAATAACAAAAGAAATATCTCCAATCCCAATTATATGCTTACTTGCACCCAAATACTTCTTCTCAAGAAATAAATATTATTAGAGATATGTTAGGTTGGAAACACACTTGAAGCATTTATTAGAACGGAATTATTGCTCCTCTCGTCATTTAAATATCTCTAACACACAGATAACATTCTTATATGTAAAACAAATGAAGAAATGCCTGCCTCCTCCGCAATTTTCTCAAAAGCAGCCCAAAGCAACCGTAACTTTGGACCCTCAGCAACAGCATTCAAACTCAAGGGCCGCTTTACAGATTGAATGATGCAGTCTCCTGAATAAGCCTTGTATTCTAAAGTGTTTAGAGAATTCAAAAGCTTTTCCCTCACAACATTCAAGACATACTTTGAATTAAGTTGATAAGTATTCTCCGCAGCACTGCAATAGAGAGAAAGTTTCTCAAGTAACTAACCAAAGCAGACTATAATCCTAGGTTAAAATACAAATAAATTTTTCATTAATGAATATGACAAAATTTTCAACCTTGTCATCATTGACATGCTTACCCTTACCTACCAGAATTGTCTAAGGTTTCAGCAACCAAATTTTTATCAGAAATGATCTTTTGACCACCGGCATAAGATTTTTCAACAGGAATTACTCCAGCCATATATGTGAGAAATATACTGGCCATCAAAAGCACCTGGTCAACAACTGGCACAAAATCAGAGGCCGTTGCACCATCAAAATCAACTAATGTCCCCAAGCCAATGCCCATCAAGGAGGTCACCCGAAGATGAGGACTAATATTCAAATTTTTGGAACCACCAGCACTTAGCTTAAACATTCTCCATGAAGAGAATTGACCGAATTTACAGCCATTACTGGAATTCTTTCTGCAACAAGTATTCACAGGTTGGGTCAACCTACCATGTTTGTAATACCGTTCACAAAAAGGGAATGAAGACTAGCCATTTGGTATAACCACATGATAGCAAAGCATCTGACAAACTTAGCATTAGAAAGCAAAATGGTGAACTAGCAAATTGGTCGATGCCAAATATACTCTCAAGTGAATGTGATAAAACTGAAGAATTAAGCACAGAAAATTTACTCCTGAAATTTTTAGTGACAAAACATTAATCCCTAAAATTTTGTACTGATTCAAGAAAAAGTTTATCTTAAGCCTTAATGTGTATTAAAGAGATATTATTAGCTTTTATTAATATTTGAAAAGATGCATTCAAGGAAAGAACTACTATTTAATAATTATATAATGAAAAGGGTTGCTTTTACAAGTTTTTTTCTTTTCAAGTGAATCCATTTTCTCTAGGTGCCACTGAACCATTTTCCATGCTAAAACATTTCATATTCAGCCCCGAATTGAATTTTCATAGAAGTTTTCATTAAGGTTAACATCCCCCACAAAGACATCAAGCTCTAGAGCTATGAAATGTTCAATCTGAGGAGAGTTTGTTTTGTTTTAAACATAGGATTTGTTATAGTCCATTAACCACTCAAACAGAAAGACCTGGAAAATTGAGATAGTCCATTTTGGCAAGAACATATTATTACAACAAACTAAGGTTTAATATTGCATTTTCAGTTTTTATGATTCTATAAGAATTCACCACTTTATTTTTCCAGGGCCCATAAGAATTTACTACTATCTCTAGTCCTTAATATAAGACCTAGTTGACTAATTTGGGAGATTAAAAAAATTAGTTAAGTCAGTTATCTGTAGTAAATAAGTATTGTCTTTCCTAGAATACCCTTGCTAATTATGTGTATTAGCTAAAACTACCATTTGATGAACACTTAACATGTGCCACTACTACAAGGACTACTTTTAAAAAAAAGGGATAAATATGAAAGACAAAGTGAATTAGGGTCAGAGATAGTATTACATATTGCTTAGTAAGGATTCTCATTTACTTGTCTCCTTGGGGATTTTATGGGGAGGAGGAAGAAGAATAAAATTAGAGCTAGCACACAAAATAGGAGGGCACATATAATGGAGATGAGAGAAATGAAATGCATAGAACGAAAAGGCTGAAGTGAGAAGCATGAAACCTGTGAATAGCCTTAAAATTTGTAGTCTGAAATGAAAGGTCTCTCTCTCTAATAGGCCTCGTCAGCATATGCAGCTTAACAGACAATGGGGAAGCCACACAAGCTGCCATCGATAAGAATTCTTGCTCCACAGTCAACACATTATTATTTAGCGCCTAATAAGTATTTGATTACCTGCAAACACCCACAAGAAGCAAGAAGAAATTGAATGGAACACGCAATCCATTAGTAAATACCATAAGCTGAAGAAAATCTTACGTGCCTGAAACAAAAAACGAAGAAGCATTACAGAATAATACGAGCCAAAATATATGACAATGACAAAAGACGGAGCAGGTATATAGATTTCATTATTCAAGCAGGTTCTCCTTAAAAACCGAGGTGTGAAAAGTATGGCATAACATGGAATAATAGCAAGCTTCCATCTGAATCTGCTCACGAAGCACAGAAGGCGCATAGGAATTCCATTCCTTTCAAAGACCCTCGGGAATGCTTGTCTAACTATTACAGTATAGTCGCATTATGTGACCCGTTTCAGTCTCGTTGTCAATCAAGCTTCAAATTAGCAATACAGCAATTAATATACTGAAGCAATAGAACCCATACTTGCATTTCTTCATCTTTTTTTCCCCAAATTGCGTGGTAACATAAACTTGAATAACAATACGGATAAACATTGACAATGAAACACATTTGAGCTTAAACATCGCATGCGTCCAGGGTAAAATACCATAGAGCAATGCATAATGGCAACAAGGATCAAAATCCAGATGCAAATGCCACGAGTGCTGAATGGCAAGCGGTGAGTCCCCGCAGTGTTTGAATGAAAGACAGAGGAAGATTATTTTGCTTTGTATTATTTATTCTTACATACTCTATATTCCTAATTCTCGTTGTAGAAAGCAAAATGAGCGAAGAACCAAGCAAAACGGGGATTGATGAAGATTGGATTTGTGCGTACCTGATTACTTCGTTGCCTCTTCCGTCCGACTCCAAACAACTACTGAGGCCTCATGTAGGCCTTCGGATGCCCCTGCGTCCGGCTTCGAACGATTACGGCGCCGTTTAGATTTTTTTCAAAATAATTTAAGATTACAAACAAAAAAGGGGCTTCTTGCGAGCCAAAAACCTTTAATTTTGGATCGATGATGAAATGAAAGAGCTGTTTTTAAGCTTTTGTTGGATGAGGGGGGAAAAAACCAGAAGCACAGTTATAAATTGGGTAAATATGTAATTTTAACTCTTATTTTGTTTCTCAACTACAATTTTATCCCTAATTTTTTATTGAGGGTATAAATAGAATTGCACTAAAAAAATAACAAATAAATTATACCTGAGAAATAAGATCAAATTTAAAATTAAACTATTAAAAAGATAAAAATAAAATTATGCCTGAAAAATAAAATATTTTTTTTACCGAACCTGAAAAATAAGATTAGACTTTATAAAGTTTGATTTAAGGAGAACATCTGTTGATATTTTATGACCAAATTTATTTACTTGTATAAACATTTTTTAATTATAATTTAGGAAATATAAAGTAAGTATATTAAAAGAATTTTATCTCAATTTATTTAAAATATATTTATTTAAGTGACTTCAAAGAGGCACTTTTTCCTTCACGTTTAGCTCTTTCAGACTTATTTTTTGGCTTCAAATATATTCAACTAAAATACTGTAAAAAGCATTACGTTCGTCTAAACACGATACGTCTACCCAAAAGTTATTGTCGGAAATGTTATTACATTGACTCATTCTTTTTCCCGTTTTTATTTATATATTTCAAATAATATTTTATTTTTCCTAACCCTGATGCGGCCGTTTTATAAAACATGTTTATTATCTTTTTAATCTCATTTAGGATAAAGCAGCACTAACAGCCCTATTTTATTTTATTTTTCATGTATACACCCACCACAATTTTCTTGGTGGTATAATCTTTTAAATTTTGTCACTTTTTTATTTATCTAAAAGCACTCTTTTACTTGTATTCATCTTAACTGTTAGAATTAATAATTTTGATTCCTTTTATTAAATTATTAATAATTTTATACAAAGTAATCAAATTACTGTCATATTAAAAAAATTTGGCGAAAAAATTTACGCCAAATTTAAAAAATTACAGCAATAATTGCACCGCTCAGAAATTAGGTGCGGAGTGTGCACCTTTTCCTTTTAATTTATGAATTGTTTTTATTAAAAAAATGTTCACCTCACCCGGGAGAATGCGCGGAATTTTGGCTGTGATTGACGGCATAAAAGAGCAAGACTGAAGGAGCGATAAAGGATTTGGGACAAGATGATGAGTGGGGCTTCACCTTCAGCGCCTCCCGCGCCATGTTCTTGTTCCTTGTCCAAACCCCAACTTCCTCTACATCTCTTGTCCTGGAATTCAGTTGTGCCTTGTACTTCATCATGTCCCAAGCTCAAAGGCTTTAGATTTGCCAGCAAAAGGGGTTATCAGAACATTGGAGTTCGATGCAATAGTAGCATTTGGCCTGGTGGTCCCGGCTCTGGTACAAAACGTTTTCTTTTTTTAAAAAAAAAAAAAGAATTATCTTCTTCTTTTGATACTTGTAAGGTTGTCTCTATCTGACCTCTTAGATGCTGCTATTGTTCTCCTGTATAAGGCCGGCACGCTTTTTATACTATTGCTGGTTAGTTTACCTGTGTGATGATGCTTGAAAGAGGGTTTGTCGAATGAAGCTTTAGGATGTGTCATTGATGGGTTTTGGCCTTAAAGCACCGATGTACCATTGTACCCTAAGTTACTGTATTTGATACGAGTGTCGTAATCACAACTCATGCCGGTGAACTCTATTTTTAAAGTATAATAAACTGCAATTGATTGAAATTTTCATCCTGAACGTTGTCTCGTTTTCTGCATTTACATGAGAAATGAGTATGGACAGTCAAACCTGCCTCATTTTTTTTTCTATTTTACTGAAGGGTCTAGTTGGATTTGGATGTTATGGATTTTTGACAAATTTTAAGAGCATCTATTCTTAGACCTTGGATTCAATTTGCTGCCTTGGATTCATTATATCAACTGGTGATGTTGCCACTTGGCAGAAAAGGACATGCGCTTGTAAATGGGTCTATGGCAGCTCAAAGTTTTAGTGCCATCTTACTTCTAAATGGATCGGTGGCAGCCTACTTTGAATGGCTTTCACTTTGGTGCTCCAGGTAGCCGTTTTCCAAAGAATGGCATTCACTCTGGTGGTCCCTGCACCCCCTCTCCCAGGTGAGTGCTGGGGGTGCCGTTCAATTTTGACCATTTTGGTATCAAGTAACCCTTTCCTATGTCAGCTGGCTCCTAGTGTAATGAAAGATTCATTTGTTATGACTTGAGCCAGGAGGAGGCTAGAATGTTAGGTAGGAGAGCCTCAAGACTTTACAATACTATCTTAAGGCTTCATGGTTACCCAAGGTTCAAAGAGGTAGCTTAGGAATGTTGCACAATCTGTCTATTTCACATCCATGTTTTCTAGGAAGTTCACTGAGTGTTTGATTGAAATGAATTGAAGACTTAGTTTGTACAGTTGTATATATTGGTTTAAATGCATAAGGTAATGAGTTTCAATGCATAAGATAATGAATCACGCAGGCGACAGTGACAGCAGGAGCATTCTGGATGCATTTTTCTTGGGAAAGGCACTAGCTGAAGCTGTAAATGAGCGTATTGAGTCCACAGTTGGTGAGTTTTTAAGTACTGTCGGTAGAGCGCAAGCTGAACAAAGAAAGCAAGTTCAAGATTTCCAAGTAAGGGCAGTTTAAGCTAGAATTACAATTTACTGCATTCCTTGTCAATGTCAAATTTCAAACACCATTCTACGTAGAACCACCCCCTGTCCCATATCTCTTTGCTTCAGGACAGATCAAATAATATCATGTCTCTTATGCTGATTTTAATAATTGGAAAAATAGAAACTGTTCAAAGATTTAGGCCTTGTTTGTTTTCTTGTTTTGAAAACAGTTTTGTTTTTAAAAAAAGTTTTAAAAAATTTGTTTGGTAAATTGTTTTTAGCTACATGTGTTTAAAAACCCCAAAAAAAAAATCTGTTTTTAAAAACTAAAAAACCAAAAATTTTTTTTCTTTCGTTATTTTTGTTTTTGCATCTTTATTTTTTGTTTGGGAAAATTGGGAAACCCTTTTTTCTCTGCTTCATAACTTTTTTTTTTTCCATGTGAGAACTTGAGTGCTCATCAAAGCTTCACCCTCTGATTTAGTATGTTTATTTTCAAATGTAATTTTTCAGAACAATTATCCAAACAGAATTTTTTTGGTTTTTTGTTTCCAAAACTTATTTTAAAAAAAATTATAAAATTGTTTTGAGAACAAAAAACAAAAGACAGAAACAAACAGGCCCTTAAATTTTGACAGTTTTGCAATGCAACTGTTTGGGCATCCAGAAAATACGCCATGAGCTGCAAACTGCATTACAGAATATGGTGCATCCCTGCCTCTCACTGAATTAGATGTAAAATGCGTGATTCTAATAACTGGAGTTCGTAAGTAATCAGTATTTTAGTTCCCATGAACATTAGACCACAAAAATAATTCCAGCTGTCCAAATTTGAAATTTCCATTTGTTAATGAATAGTCAACAAATATAGCACCTAAAGGAGGAGAGGATGAGTAAGAGAATGGTAAATAATTGATATGCAAGAGAATGGTGTGTCATAGATGAAGGAGATATGCAATAGGAAAGGATATTTAATATCTTTATGACAGTCTGTATCTATTCTCATTAGAAATTCTTATTTTGGTTTGGTGACCTAATCATGGGCCTCTAATCACCGGTAGAGATGACCCTTGATCATTGATTTGTCATATTGACTTTGAATTTTGAGAATTTAGTGATTTTTTTTCCTTTTTGTCCCTTCCTCTTCTACGTCACTTGGATTTAGTACCTCAATGAGGATGTGAGAGAATGGTGTCATTTAGAACAACTAGGAAATGCTGTATGAGAGTATTTTTACTATTTCAGGGTACCTATTGTCTTTAGGAATTCTCATGTTGGTTTGGTTTCAAAGAAATAGGCCTCTAGACATTTGGGCTTGGAGTTTATATTTTTGGGGAGCCAACACGGTTTTGTGTAAGCACAGTGCTTGATAAAGTTTAACTGCTGATCCAGAACACTTGTTAAATAACCTCCCTATGCCAGTGCCTGCCTGGATTATATCTAATTATGGAATGAGCAGAACACAGGATACCTCTTGATTGGAAATTCTTTCTATCAGCAATAGCAACAAAACCTTATCTCACTAGGTAGGGTTAGCTACATGGATCACACAACGCCACTAAGCTTTGTCAATAACCAAATCTTTAGATAGATTCTTAATGGAAAGATTTTGCTCAATAACTTCATTAAGTATTTTCTTTGGCCTTCTTTTACTCCTTTTCAGAAAACTCCAAACTGATTAATCAACACTCCTCAAGAGTGCAATCAAAGGCCTTCTTTGAATGTGATCAAATCCTCTCAAATGATTTTCTCCCATTTTTTTCTTCAATAGGAGCCTCTCCAACTTTTCTGTGTATATATTCATTACGAATCTTACTCTCTCTCTCTTTTTTTTTTTTTTGGTATGACTAAGCATCCACCTTAGTATCCTCACTTTAGCTACCCTCACTTTATGTTCATATTGTCCCTTTAAAGCCTAGCAATCACTATCGTATAGCATTGTTGGTCTAAAATTCTTTCTATCAATTGTATAATTTTCACATCATGAAGTCTGATATCCAAAATATAGCGAGTCAAAATTTTAGACAAAAATCCGTTTTTGATCCTCAGGTTTTGAAAGTAATTCTAGTAGTTCTTACATTTTATTATACAATGATTTGAGGATCAGAAATTCTGAATTTTTTTTTTTTAACCAAAGAAATTCTGAGGTTGAAACTTCAACGTAGGTCTTTGTGTGTAAAGTCTATGATTTTGAAGTCAATCCTTGTACTTTCATGCAATCGCCTTTGAAGATGTAAATTTGGGAAAAGACATGTATGTGCAGGATGAAGTGTTGGAAAGAGCCAAAAAAGCAAAGGAAAAGGCAGCACGAGAAGCCATGGAGTCACAAGGGCTGATTTCCGAGTCTTCAGCGGACAGAGAAGTCGCAGACTATGCTGCTACCAGACCTTCATATTCTGCCACGGAAACTGTTGCTTCTGTCCAGCCTAGCCCTCCGGATGAAACAACTAATGATCCTGAGAGAGAGGAGCGACCTGCTTTGAATTCTTCAACTGATGACTGATTTTTCATCCATGAATGTACGAGATACTGAAACTATGCTATATAGAGGATATGCCTCTGCAGTGTAATTAAGTTATCAAGATGACAAGTTTTATATGTTATTTCTTTCGTTAGTGAGTTAATCCTTGTAGTTCCAAAGAATTTTAAATTAATAAGCTCTTATAGTTTTAAAAGTTCATGATCCTGCTGGTAAAGAAGAGTTTGTGATCGGTTTTTATTGCCTCACAATTTACAACTTGAGTCTCCACCATTATTGGTGCACATGCATGGATCCACGTGTTAGGGAGTTGGATCTTTTTCCCGTTTGATTCGTCAAAAGGTAGGAAACGGAAGATATTTTAATTATCCCATATTTCGTTTGAGAGGAAGAGAAGGGAGGAGAAATATTTAATGAAGTTGATTCATGAAGGGAAAGAGGGGAGATAGTTAAAATATACCCTCCCTCCCATTTCCAAAACTCTCCAATCCGGAGGGGAGGGGAGCGGAGGGGAGGAGTGTTGCCCTCCATTTTCCTTATCCTAACAATAGGAGAAGTCAAAAGAATTGTTCTCCTTTTTCTTCAGAAAAAATACCCAACCAAACGAAGGCATAAAGTTCTGGGAGTCGATGCTCTTGAGTTTCTGTTTCTTTTTTGGACACTATTTACTGCTTTCTAGTTTTTAGTTTTTTGAAGATGTTGGGATGCTGTACTCATGTTCAAGTGTATTTTGTTGCCCTTGTTACTTTGCAGATAGTTTCTTGAGTATGAAATGATATGTATACAGATTTGGCCAAATACAAAGGGCTAAAGTTTCAGTTGATTAGATGAAATGTTTTTGATAAAAATGAACTTCTTGTATTTGCGCATCAGTTATGAAAAAGATTAAGAAAATTATCTTTAAGCATTACAAGTTTTTTAAAAAAAATGTGATTTAAAGATTTAATGCTAATAAATAATTCTTTGACACTTTAAAAAAATAAGGTCATTACTAAATCTTTCTTCGTAATTGCTTACAATCCTTGGAGGTAGTTTTTCCTGTAATGTTTTTCCTAGTGTTTTTTTTTCCGGTGTAAGCACCCAGGATCCTGAACCAGGCCACTCTCAAGCACAACAACGGGCTTAGGCTAATCCGAATCGAGGTATAACAAGAATCATTAAGATTGGCGCCCCTAGCCCCCTAGCCTCTAAGATGCTACATTCCCACTTCTCAAACTCAAAACCCATGGTTAAGCTAGAACAGTCCCAACCAGCTGATCTAATCATCAGGGTTATAACTCTCTTAATGTTTAGGTCAATAGTCCCCAGGCATATATTGGTCCACGGAAGACAAGAATTAGTTGGTATTTCCTGAATTTTGGGATAATATGCAAATTTATAATGGAAGTTTTCACTCATGATCATTGACCACTCCAACAATTTTTTCAACTCAAATTTATCCTAAAAATTTAAAACCCTCGCAATATTACCTCTTATTGTTAATATTTTTAATAGTAAGGGATATTATTGCTATGATTTTAAACTTTTAAGGTAAATTTACACCTAAAAATTTTTTGGATACCTAGCATCTCTAAGTTTTTATATTATCAAAATGAACTTCAGATGATTAAGTGCCTTGCAAAAACGGCGAAAGGACCATCTTGGGAAGGTGTTCAGGAGATGGTAATGAAAATAATAAATAATGAATAATAAAAAGTGGGCAACATTAGTGTTCTTTAGTCACGACATTGCAATGATTTTGACATCTGAGAAGTATGTATTTTAATGTCCGTTAAACTTAATGGTCAGTGTTAAGATTTTTTGGTTTTCCAAACGAAATGGTTGAGGGATAAAAATGCTTTTAACCCTAATGAAATTACATAAATAAAAGGTTAATATAATCTTTGATCTTTTAAGTTTGTCCTCATTTTGATTTTGGTTCCTTAAGTTTTTTTTGAATGATAAAAAAAAATAGATATAACTTTAAACAAACAAAAGAACAAAAAAAAACAATAACAACCTAAACTCCTTTATTACCCTCCGCTTCTCAGTAAGGAGGAGGAGGTTGATCAAGGATCCAAAAGAAGCTATCAAGACTATATAAAAGTTTAGCTAAGTAGTCAGCTAAGTGGTTTTCATCCCTATACATATGATAAATATTAATCTTCCAATCTCTGTTAAAAATTAATCTAGCATCATCAATAATATCCTTGAAAGGGTGTTGGCCATCCTAACTCTTGGTGATTAGGTTGATAGCCTCCAAGCTGTCAGAGTAAAGTGAGACTTCCTTGAAATTCCTACTCCAGTACATGTTAAGGTCGTGAATCATCCCAATCATCTTCGCAATTGTAGGGGGCACATTTGTGAGTTTACAGTTGAAACCAATAATCCAACTATCTATGTTGTCCTGCATTACTCCATTGCAACAACTTCTTCCATCCTGTAAAACAGAACCATCCACTGCAAGCTTCACCGCTCCACCTGCATGGCCATTGCTTTGTCCCTCATTTGTTTCATAGAAATTGTAAAACCTGTAGTGTTTTAATAGATTTTGATCTAGACACACTATGAAAAAGCTAGAAAACCCGTTACGAGGATCATCTATGCTAGGTGTGTTGAAAAGGCAATTATATCTAACCACCCATATGTCCTAACAGATGTAACCAAAAAGAGTAGCCCAAGGGATCTTCTTAGTCTAGTCATTCCATGCTTCATTGGTGAGATTCCAAGTAACCCACTTCGTGTCATGTTTGGACACAAAAGCGTTCCATATCGAGGCCTTGATTACTAATTTCCATATGTCTTTAGCATTGACACACCTATGAAGAAGGTGCACACAATTTCTGCCTGGTTGCATCCAAAAGGGCAACTTGCCTCTTGCTGAACTCCCTGTCCACTCTTAATTGCATCATGTGGATCCTGTCACGGCAGAATAGCCACATAAGAGATTTAATCTTTTCTGGGATTCTCTATCTCCAAGGATGTTTCTAAATGCCCTCCATCAGTTGGTTGGTACCTACAAAAATGAAAGAGTATGCAGATTTAATAGTAAAGATACCGTTAGTGAACAGTTTCTATAAGAATTCATCCTCTCCTCTCTTCTCACTGGGTGGGTGTGCACAAGAAATTCAATCCACAATATGAGGATGGAACCATAGAAGAAGTTTCTGTCTGTCCCAATCTCCCCTATTTGCCACATAACCAATCACACGCTCCTCTCTATCAATCATCATTTTAAGAACAAGGATGAGATCAATTAAGAGAGTGTATATTTTAGACCAATTATCAAACCAAAAAGAAGTAGACAGCCTATTACCTATTTTCCTCCCTACTCCATTCTTGAACTTTTGCCACACTTAACAAATTCCCCTCTAAGTAAGAGAAGAGTAGCGATAATTTTCCACTTCGGGCATATTAGGACTACCACACATGTACTTTGATCTTAGGACCTTGACCCATAGTACCTCCTTCTTAGTGAGTAGATTCTAACAAAGCTTCATGATATAGGCTTCATTCTATTTCTGCATATTCTTTATGCACTAACCTCCTACTTTTTTATCTTGAAGAATTTGATCCCAAGATATAAGGTGCATTTTTCCTTCGTCTTCATTTTCTTCCCATAAAAAGCTTCTACTTTTCTGTTCCAACTGTCTCAGGAGCTTTTTAGGGAGCAATCTAGTCTAAATGTAGTAAGAAAGAAGAGCAGATAGGACTATTCTAACAAGAACTATTCTTCCTATAAAATTAAAACAATTACATTTCCATCCTGAGAGTCTTTCTTGTGTCTTTTCTAGAAGGGGAGCAAAATTGATATAGGACGCCCTTTCATGGATCAGAGGAATTCCCAAGTAATTGCCCAGGTCACCTATAAGTCCCACTCCCATTTTTTGGCTTAGTATGGATTAGGAAACTCGTACAAGAAAAGTCTTACAGCACTTTTGTATGGATAAGTCACATCCATCATGTGTTATGGTAGTTGCAAGATCTTTAAACGTGGATTAAAGATTCATTTAGATTTAGAGAAGGTGATAAAAAAAAATACTTAGTCCAAAAGCACTCATATATTTAGCTAATCATGCACATACAACTGGATATATCATTTGTTAATTAGCATCATATAGGGTTGGAATGAAGTTAAGCGCATTTTTTGTTATTTTAAGGGTAATATAGGGGTGATATTTTTTTTATCAGAATATACTCATGACTAATTTTATTGGCTATGCAAACGAAGGATTTTTGTGTGATCCTCGTGTTGAGAGATCACTGTATAGTTCACATGTTGTTAAACCACAAATAAACTATTTGTCTCATGATCTTCAAAAGATTGTAAAAATTAATATTGGTCATATTTATTTAAATTTAATATTTGGAATGCTTGTTCATTATATTAGAATTTACAGGCTCAAAAATTTCAACTGATATTGTCAAGAAGGGGAGTTGATGCACATTGTACTTTTTTTTTTTTTCTCTTTCTATGATTTTGTCCCATTGAGTTTTTCTAGCAAAGTTTTTAATGAGGTGACACTGTATAGTGTATTAATAAATGTTGTACTCCTTTTCTTCTACTAGATTTTTGTCCCATTGGGTTTTTCCTATTGACATTGGGTTTTTAGTTTTATAACATAAATCATTTTGAAATGGAATTTCGGACTTAAAATGCTATGGTGGTTAAAAAAAAAAAAACTCATTTGTTCATTTAATGTAAAAGCTACTAAACTAAGCTTGATAAATTAAGCTAAATAAATTACTTAATTTTAATATGACATTATCTCCCCAAAATATCTTTATATAATATTGGATTATATATCAATTTAAAAGTTAAATAAATTGGTTTAAGAAAAACTGATATATATATATATATATATATATATATATAATATGGATTAAGTAGTTACATTTCGATTCACCATCATTTTCTTGACTAATTCCTGCTTTAAGACCGGAAGAGTAACACTTTTAGAAGAGAGAAAACATACATTTAAATACAGATATTCCTGCTCGGACAAAACCAATAATATCTTTTGTTTGCAATGTTTGATATTCACCGAATTTCTAGTAAGACTAAAATTTGGAAATTTCATAGCAGTTGCTATTTCATTTGCGTGTGCGCGTAGAATTGTTCCAAATTATCATAAGAAAAGTACGCATGAAAATCTTGTTTAATAAATTTTCGTATACAGAATTTAATATTCAAACACTTTTTATTATTTAAGATTTTTGTC